AATGTGATTCATGATGGAATGAGAATAGTATATTGCATGCCTAAATTATTTTTTCGATATTTCATTATTACATCGAATTTTCAGACATCACTGAAATGTTTATATGTTTCACTCTGTAAACAATTACATTATCTGAACCATCTGAATTATGTTGAGTAATATGGAGGTTCGTTGATGATATGAGCGAAAAAAATTGTACTTGGCATCTTTGAATTTCGAGAAAATAATTAAATGAAAAATACCGATTTGTAACTTCAACGCCCTGTATCTCAGAATCTGTTCATCAAAGAACTTTACGATTCTGCAGGTTCAATCAGTTCATCGAACTCTACAACATACTGGAAATTCAGAAAATTTCACCGAGAAACATTTTACGTACTAAAAGTGCGGGGTCCTTTGAAGGGTGCAGTATCGCATCTCATCTCATATTATGTTGTATTTTGTAATTATGATTAGATTCTATTCTAAATTGGTATATGGAGGTTTTCGGGGTCGGAGATTTTATGATTCTTTCGTGAAAATTAGGATATTGAAGATGGCTGACGAGTTTCATAATAATTATGATCCCATTCTATTCAAAATTGGTGTCTGGGGGTTCTCGGTGTCGGAGATTATGATTCTTTCATCATGGCTCCACCAATATGGCGCACGAGTTTCGGAATTATGATTCTATGCCATTTGAAATTTGTATCTGGGGTTTTTGGGGTCGGAGATTATGAATCCCGAAATGAAGAAATTCAAGATGACGGATTCAATATGGCGGACGAGTTATGTGATGATGATTCTATCCTATTCAAAATTTATATATAAGGGTGTTTGGGGTCGGAGATTATGATTCTATCGTCAAAATTGGGAAATTCAGGATTGCAGATCCAATATAGCGGACAAGGTTTCTAATTTTATTATCCAATTCTATTCGAAATTTTTACTGGTGTTTCTGGGGTCGGAGATTTTGAATCATTTGTCAAAATTAGGAGATTCAAGCGAACACCATCTCAAAAGTTTTTGTTAGTCTATCTTAGACAGCGAATGTTTTTAGGTAATAAAGTTTGTCGAGTTGATAAAAATTCTGTTTGATAGTGATAAAACAGTGTATAGTGTGAGTGTGATTATCGTACCAAAGTTTCCAGGATTCCTGGTTTCGGTCTTCGACATAACGGTGAGAAATTGATTTGCCATCATACGCTTTCTATATCTCACAATCCATTTTGTTTTAATGGTCAACTTTTTTCAAATCATTTAAAAATCGAATTATAATGAAAAAAATTTGAGAAAATTATGTTCATGCTGATATAAAACTTACAAAGTTATTGAATGAGGAATTTTAAAAGGAAATATTTTTCTTGAACAACCTGTTTCTCCAAAACTAACAACATTTTCTATGAGAGATGTGAGGCTGCATCTTGATATTCTGATGTTTACTATTCTAGCTCACACATTGACCATTTTCATGCTGATATAAAACTTACAAAGTTATTGTATGAGGAATTTCAAAATAAAATATTTTCCTTGTACACCCTGATTCTCCAAAACTAACAGCATTTTCTATGTGAGATGTGAGATGTGAGGCTGAATCTTGATATTCTGATGTTTACTATTTGTAGCTCACACATTGACCATTTTGGATGAATAACCCTGTATATATTTCAAAGACAATTTTAATATCGCGGCATTCATTGAATTTCAAAAATCTTCCCCAAAGAAGATGCAAGTGGAATATGAAAATACACCAAGTCGGACGACCGACTTGGTGTATTATGTTTTTTCTTTGAAAAAATCTGGACCACTTTGAGAAGGATGGATGGTTTCCATGACTTGGAATATGAAGTATCTACCTACGATAATTCTCTAAAACATGAACTGGATGTTCGATAACGTCTCCAAATGTCTCGAAAAGCGGCTGCTATATTTTCAAATATTTCGTATGTGGCTGACTTTTCCGTTGCCTCGCTTTTCTGCCTATTCTTATGAATTTTTGCGACATATCATTTGCAGCAGCTTGCAACACTGGTGACTGGCTTTTCAATTATTAGATTATATGCCGGTTAGTTTGAAGTTCATCTGAAGTTCATGCAATTCAAAGAGGCACGTGGCGGACTGCGGAAAGACGGGGAATCACCGCGCGACTAATGAATATCCCCCCGGTTCGCCGCGGGAGGGAGAGAGACATATAACGATTTCTCGCTCAGGTTTGTTTTGTTGCCGTGGCGGTATCATCCTTTGTGAATATCGCCATATCAATGGATCCAAAATCTGATAACTGTACTCTGAGACGAATGTTTTTGCATGAGTTTTAGAGTGAAATAACCTGAACTTTTGACACAGATTAACAAAGCTTTTTGAAGTTTGTTCCACAACTGTGCCATTCCTATTATTTACATCTATGCTGACATAATTATCGATCTCATAAATAGAATTGAAGAAATTCTGCTGAATTTGTATGTTTAAATTCTCAGGTCTACTTATATAATTATAATTCAGTGACAAATTCTAGGCCGTTTCAAACTACTCTATTTAGTTGAGAATTTGCATTCTCCTTCAGATAAAAATATGTATTTGCACATAACATCATTCTGAATATTTAACAGAAAACAACTACACGTCGAACATTGAATTATATCTGCTGAACATCAAAAATAAAATTCCTATATCAGTGATACGAATAATTTTTTTGGAAGTTCCAAGCTCATCAAGTTTAGAGTTTATACAAGTCCACTTCTCCTATACATTTCAATTTTCATTTCAATACTGAACATTTGGTGAGTTATATTTTTATATCATGAAACATCATATTATTCATCAGATTTGAGAGATTGTCAATTCTCAATAATTCAGATCGTGCCGAACGGCTCCTCAGATCGAGCCGAACGACTCCTCAGATCGAGCCGAACGGCTTCTCAGATCGAGCCGAATGGCTCCTCAGATCGAGCCAAACGGCTCCTCGGATCGAGCCGAACGGCTCCTCGGATGGAGCCGAACGGCTCCTTAGATCGAGCCAAACGGCTCCTCGGATCGAGCCAAACGGCTCCTCAGATCGAGCCAAACAGCTCTTTGAATCGAGCCGAATGTTCCTCAGATCGAGCCGAACGGCTCCTCAGATCGTGCCGAACGGCTCCACTGATCGAGCCGGAAGGCTCCTCAGATCGAGCCGAATGGCTCCTCGGATCAAGCCAAACGATTCCTCACATCGAGCCAAACGGCTCCTCAGATCGAGCCAAACAGCACTTTGGATCGAGCCGAATGGTTCCTCAGATGGAGCCGAACGACTCCTCAGATCGTGCCGAACGGCTACTCAGATCGAACCGAAAGGCAACTCAGATCGTGCCGAACGGCTCCTCATATCGAGCCGAAAGGCTCCTCACATCGAGCCGAACGGCTCCTCAGATCGTGCGCCGAACGGCTCCTCATATCGAGCCGAAAGGCTCCTCAGATCGAACCGAACGGCTCCGCAGATCGTGCCGAACGGCTCCTCAGATCGAGCCGAACGGTTCCTCATATCGAGCCAAACGGCTCCTCAGATCGAGCCGAATGGCTCCTTAGATAGAACCCAACGGCTCCTCGGATCGTACCAAACGGCTCCTCGGATCGAGCCGAACGGCTCCTCAGATCGAGCCAAACGGCTCCTCAGAGCGAGCCGAATGTCTCCTCAGATCGAGCCAAACGGCTCCTCGGATCGAGCCGAACGGCTCCTCGGATCGAGCCGAACGGCTCCTCGGATCGAGCCGAACGGCTCCTCGGATCGAGCCGAACGGCTCCTCAGATCGAGCCAAACGGCTCTTTGGATCAAGCCGAGTGGTTCCTCAGATCAAGCCGAACGGCCCCTCAGATCGATCTGAATGGCTCCTCAGACCGAGCCGAAAGGCTCCTCAGATCGTGCCGAACGGCTTCCCAGATCAAGCCGAATAGCTCCTCGGATCAAGCCGAACGGTTCCTCACATCGAGCCGAATGGCTCCTCTGATCGAGCCAAACGGCTCCTCGGATCGAGGCAAACGGCTCCTCAGATCGTGCCGAACGGCTCCTCAGATCGAGCCAAACGGCTCCTCAGATCGTGCCGAACAGCTCCTCGGATCGAGCCAAATGGCTCCTCAGATCGAGTCAAACGGCTCCTCGGATCGAGCCGAACGGTTCCTCACATCGAGCCAAACGGCTCCTCAGGAGCCGAATGGCTTCTCAGATCGAGCCAAACGGCTCCTCAGATCGTGCCGAACGGCTCCTCAGCTCGAGCCGAATGGCTCCTCGGAACAAGCCGAACGGTTCCTCAGATCGAGCCAAATGTCTCCTCAGATCGAGCCAAATGTCTCCTCAGATCGAGCCAAATGTCTCCTCAGATCTAGCCAAACGGCTCCTCGTATCTAGGCGAACGGCTCCTCAGATCGAGCCGATCGGTTCCTCAGATCGAGCCGATCAGTTCCTCAGATCGTGCCGAACGGCTCCTCGGATCGAGCCGAATGGTTCCTCAGATCGAGCCGAAAGGCTCCTCAGATCGAGCCGGATGGCTCCTCAGCTCGAGCCAAACGGCTCCTGGGATCGAGCTAAACGGCTCCTCGGATCGAGCCGAACGGCTCCTCAGATCGAGCCAAACGGCTCCTCAGAGCGAGCCGAATGTCTCCTCAGATCGAGCCAAACGGCTCCTGGGATCGAGCTAAACGGCTCCTCGGATCGAGCCGAACGGCTCCTCAGATCGAGCCAAACGGCTCCTCAGAGCGAGCCGAACGGCTCCTCGGATCGAGCCGAACGGCTCCTCAGATCGACCCGAAATGCTCTTCAGATCGAGCCGAACGGCTCCTCAGATCGTGCCGAACGGCTCCTCAGATCGTGCCGAACGGCTCCTCAGATCGAGCCGAACGGTTCCTCACATTGAGCCAAACGGCTCCTCAGATCGAGCTGAATAGTTCCTCAGATCGAGTCAAACGAGTCTTTGGATCAAGCCGGACGGTTCCTCACATCGAGCCGAAAGGCTCCTCAGATCGAGCCGAACGGCTCCTCAGATCGACCCGAAATGCTCTTCAGATCGAGCCGAACGGCTCCTCAGATCGTGCTGAACGGCTCCTCAGATCGAGCCGAACGGTTCCTCACATTGAGCCAAACGGCTCCTCAGATCGAGCTGAATAGTTCCTCAGATCGAGTCAAACGAGGCTTTGGATCAAGCCGGACGGTTCCTCACATCGAGCCGTATGGCTCCTCAGATCGAGCCAAACGGCTCCTCGGATCGAGCCGAACGGCTCCTCAGATCGAGCCGAATGGCTCCTCAGATCGAGCCAAACGGCTCCTGGGATCGAGCCGAACGGCTCCTCGGATCGAGCCGAACGGCTCCTCAGATCAAGCCAAACGGCTCCCCAGAGCGAGCCGAATGTCCTCCTCAGATCGAGCCAAACGGCTCCTCGGATCGAGCCGAACGGCTCCTCGGATCGAGCCGAACGGCTCCTCGGATTGAGCCGAACGGCTCCTCGGATCGAGCCGAACGGCTCCTCAGATCGAGCCGAATGGCTCCTCGGATCGTACCAAACGGCTCCTCGGATCGAGCCGAACGGCTCCTCAGATCGAGCCAAACGGCTCCTCAGAGCGAGCCGAATGTCTCCTCAGATCGAGCCAAACGGCTCCTCGGATCGAGCCGAACGGCTCCTCGGATCGAGCCGAACGGCTCCTCAGATCGAGCCAAACGGCTCTTTGGATCAAGCCGAGTGGTTCCTCAGATCAAGCCGAACGGCCCCTCAGATCGATCTGAATGGCTCCTCAGACCGAGCCGAAAGGCTCCTCAGATCGTGCCGAACGGCTCCCCAGATCAAGCCGAATGGCTCCTCGGATCAAGCCGAACGGTTCCTCACATCGAGCCGAATGGCTCCTCAGATCGAGCCAAACGGCTCCTCGGATCGAGCCGAACGGCTCCTCAGATCGAGCCGAATGGCTCCTCAGATCGAGCCAAACGGCTCCTGGGATCGAGCTAAACGGCTCCTGGGATCGAGCCGAACGGCTCCTCGGATCGAGCCGAACGGCTCCTCAGATCGAGCCAAACGGCTCCCCAGAGCGAGCCGAATGTCTCCTCAGATCGAGCCAAACGGCTCCTCGGATCGAGCGAACGGCTCCTTGGATCGTGCCGAACGGCTCCTCAGATCGAGCCAAACGGCTCCTCAGAGCGAGCCGAATGTCTCCTCAGATCGAGCCAAACGGCTCCTCGGATCGAGCCGAACGGCTCCTCAGATCGAGCCAAACGGCTCCCCAGAGCGAGCCGAATGTCTCCTCACATTGAGCCAAACGGCTCCTCAGATCGAGCTGAATAGTTCCTCAGATCGAGTCAAACGAGTCTTTGGATCAAGCCGGACGGTTCCTCACATCGAGCCGAAAGGCTCCTCAGATCGAGCCGAACGGCTCCTCAGATCGACCCGAAATGCTCTTCAGATCGAGCCGAACGGCTCCTCAGATCGTGCTGAACGGCTCCTCAGATCGAGCCGAACGGTTCCTCACATTGAGCCAAACGGCTCCTCAGATCGAGCTGAATAGTTCCTCAGATCGAGTCAAACGAGGCTTTGGATCAAGCCGGACGGTTCCTCACATCGAGCCGAATGGCTCCTCAGATCGAGCCAAACGGCTCCTCGGATCGAGCCGAACGGCTCCTCAGATCGAGCCGAATGGCTCCTCAGATCGAGCCAAACGGCTCCTGGGATCGAGCCGAACGGCTCCTCGGATCGAGCCGAACGGCTCCTCAGATCAAGCCAAACGGCTCCCCAGAGCGAGCCGAATGTCTTCTCAGATCGAGCCAAACGGCTCCTCGGATCGAGCCGAACGGCTCCTCGGATTGAGCCGAACGGCTCCTCGGATCGAGCCGAACGGCTCCTCGGATCGAGCCGAACGGCTCCTCAGATCGAGCCAAACGGCTCCCCAGAGCGAGCCGAATGTCTCCTCAGATCGAGCCAAACGGCTCCTCGGATCGAGCCGAACGGCTCCTCGGATTGAGCCGAACGGCTCCTCGGATCGAGCCGAACGGCTCCTCAGATCGACCCGAAATGCTCTTCAGATCGAGCCGAACGGCTCCTCAGATCGTGCCGAACGGCTCCTCAGATCGTGCCGAACGGCTCCTCAGATCGAGCCGAACGGTTCCTCACATTGAGCCAAACGGCTCCTCAGATCGAGCTGAATAGTTCCTCAGATCGAGTCAAACGAGTCTTTGGATCAAGCCGGACGGTTCCTCACATCGAGCCGAAAGGCTCCTCAGATCGAGCCGAACGGCTCCTCAGATCGACCCGAAATGCTTCTCAGATCGAGCCGAACGGCTCCACAGATCGTGCCGAACGGCTCCACAGATCGTGCCGAACGGCTCCTCAGATCGAGCCGAACGGTTCCTCACATTGAGCCAAACGGCTCCTCAGATCGAGCTGAATAGTTCCTCAGATCGAGTCAAACGAGTCTTTGGATCAAGCCGGACGGTTCCTCACATCGAGCCGAAAGGCTCCTCAGATCGAGCCGAACGGCTCCTCAGATCGACCCGAAATGCTCTTCAGATCGAGCCGAACGGCTCCTCAGATCGTGCTGAACGGCTCCTCAGATCGAGCCGAACGGTTCCTCACATTGAGCCAAACGGCTCCTCAGATCGAGCTGAATAGTTCCTCAGATCGAGTCATACGAGGCTTTGGATCAAGCCGGACGGTTCCTCACATCGAGCCGTATGGCTCCTCAGATCGAGCCAAACGGCTCCTCGGATCGAGCCGAACGGCTCCTCAGATCGAGCCGAATGGCTCCTCAGATCGAGCCAAACGGCTCCTGGGATCGAGCCGAACGGCTCCTCGGATCGAGCCGAACGGCTCCTCAGATCAAGCCAAACGGCTCCCCAGAGCGAGCCGAATGTCTCCTCAGATCGAGCCAAACGGCTCCTCGGATCGAGCCGAACGGCTCCTCGGATTGAGCCGAACGGCTCCTCGGATCGAGCCGAACGGCTCCTCAGATCGAGCCGAATGGCTCCTCGGATCGTACCAAACGGCTCCTCGGATCGAGCCGAACGGCTCCTCAGATCGAGCCAAACGGCTCCTCAGAGCGAGCCGAATGTCTCCTCAGATCGAGCCAAACGGCTCCTCGGATCGAGCCGAACGGCTCCTCGGATCGAGCCGAACGGCTCCTCAGATCGAGCCAAACGGCTCTTTGGATCAAGCCGAGTGGTTCCTCAGATCAAGCCGAACGGCCCCTCAGATCGATCTGAATGGCTCCTCAGACCGAGCCGAAAGGCTCCTCAGATCGTGCCGAACGGCTCCCCAGATCAAGCCGAATGGCTCCTCGGATCAAGCCGAACGGTTCCTCACATCGAGCCGAATGGCTCCTCAGATCGAGCCAAACGGCTCCTCGGATCGAGCCGAACGGCTCCTCAGATCGAGCCGAATGGCTCCTCAGATCGAGCCAAACGGCTCCTGGGATCGAGCTAAACGGCTCCTGGGATCGAGCCGAACGGCTCCTCGGATCGAGCCGAACGGCTCCTCAGATCGAGCCAAACGGCTCCCTAGAGCGAGCCGAATGTCTCCTCAGATCGAGCCAAACGGCTCCTCGGATCGAGCCGAACGGCTCCTTGGATCGTGCCGAACGGCTCCTCAGATCGAGCCAAACGGCTCCTCAGAGCGAGCCGAATGTCTCCTCAGATCGATCCAAACGGCTCCTCGGATCGAGCCGAACGGCTCCTCAGATCGAGCCAAACGGCTCCCCAGAGCGAGCCGAATGTCTCCTCAGATCGAGCCAAACGGCTCCTCGGATCGAGCCGAACGGCTCCTCGGATTGAGCCGAACGGCTCCTCGGATCGAGCCGAACGGCTCCTCAGATCGACCCGAAATGCTCTTCAGATCGAGCCGAACGGCTCCTCAGATCGTGCCGAACGGCTCCTCAGATCGTGCCGAACGGCTCCTCAGATCGAGCCGAACGGTTCCTCACATTGAGCCAAACGGCTCCTCAGATCGAGCTGAATAGTTCCTCAGATCGAGTCAAACGAGTCTTTGGATCAAGCCGGACGGTTCCTCACATCGAGCCGAAAGGCTCCTCAGATCGAGCCGAACGGCTCCTCGGATTGAGCCGAACGGCTCCTCGGATCGAGCCGAACGGCTCCTCAGATCGACCCGAAATGCTCTTCAGATCGAGCCGAACGGCTCCTCAGATCGTGCCGAACGGCTCCTCAGATCGTGCCGAACGGCTCCTCAGATCGAGCCGAACGGTTCCTCACATTGAGCCAAACGGCTCCTCAGATCGAGCTGAATAGTTCCTCAGATCGAGTCAAACGAGTCTTTGGATCAAGCCGAGTGGTTCCTCAGATCAAGCCGAACGGCCCCTCAGATCGATCTGAATGGCTCCTCAGACCGAGCCGAAAGGCTCCTCAGATCGTGCCGAACGGCTCCCCAGATCAAGCCGAATGGCTCCTCGGATCAAGCCGAACGGTTCCTCACATCGAGCCGAATGGCTCCTCAGATCGAGCCAAACGGCTCCTCGGATCGAGCCGAACGGCTCCTCAGATCGAGCCGAATGGCTCCTCAGATCGAGCCAAACGGCTCCTGGGATCGAGCTAAACGGCTCCTGGGATCGAGCCGAACGGCTCCTCGGATCGAGCCGAACGGCTCCTCAGATCGAGCCAAACGGCTCCCCAGAGCGAGCCGAATGTCTCCTCAGATCGAGCCAAACGGCTCCTCGGATCGAGCCGAACGGCTCCTTGGATCGTGCCGAACGGCTCCTCAGATCGAGCCAAACGGCTCCTCGGATCGAGCCGAACGGCTCCTCAGATCGAGCCAAACGGCTCTGGATCGAGCCGAATGGTTCCTCAGATCGAGCCGAACGGCTCCTCAGATCGAGCCGAATGGCTCCTCGGATCAAGCCGAACGGTTCCTCAGATCGAGCAATATGGCTCCTCAGATCTAGGCGAACGGCTCCTCAGATCGAGCCGAACGGCTTCTCAGATCGAGCCAAACGGCTCCTCGGATCGAGCCGAACTGCTCATCGGATCGAACCAAACGACTGACTGAGTCGAGCCGTACGGCTGCTCGAAACGATCCATACGGCTGACCAGGTCGAGCCGCACAGCTGCCCAGATCGTGACTTATGCTCTGGTGCTTATCAAGATCTATCAGCACTGCTTAAAATTCCATAAATATACTAGGAACTACTTCAGATGATATGAACAGAATTTCGCATGGAATTGAAGTGAACGTGCCGAGAGGCGCCTTTCCTTTTAACTTACTCATACTCATAGCTGCAGGCAAACATGATATTCTACAAGACACGCACAGGAACTAACACAAATCTCGAACGGCACACGTTGTATGGGGGTTTTTACATCCGTGTGTATATAGCACCGTTGCGAAGCTAAAGCGTACTGAAGAAATATCTGATGACGCGGGAATGAAAGGGTAATACGTAGTAGCACTGGAGTGCGGTAGAGTGTAATCTCATGAGGATCAAGCCTAGGCAAGACCTGAAATAAATCTTATTTATCCCTTCGGAGGAAAAACGTTAAATATTTCGGCATAGAAAATTGTGGCAGGATACATAATCACTATCAACTTTGATTTATAACTTTCCAAGTTTCGAATTCCACCTACAATAATGAGCAAATTTCTAACATACAAATTTTCATTCATCTTTATAATTCATGAAAATTCATTGAAAACATATTTTTTATTTTTTTCGTGCGATCAGAGTTCAGCGAGCCGTTTTACGCCAGTACAGCGTTATAAGATTCACCGATATAAACCTAATGATTTGGAAAATGTTTATTTCTAACATTACAGTTATCAATGGTACCTAAAATGACGTATACAACCAATGGTATGGGTGGAAATTGTATTATTTCTTGAAATTATATACCGAATACCTGGTGAAATGGGCATTATATAAGAATAGAATAGAATAGAATATAATAGAATAGAATAGAATAGAATAGAATAGAATAGAATAGAATTTTATTTTGTCCACTGAATGTCACAATACAGGTAAGTACAATACATTATGGGACACGTCACAAACAGATGAGCTAGTTCACTTATTGGTACAATAGGAACCTGGTTCGTATGATAAAATAATGTAAAAATAAAATAACATCCGGACTTACAATGTCACATTCTTTAAAAATAATTTCATCATTTGCTAATTAAAATAACAGATCTTATTCTGTACAGTGTGGTCTAGCATATAATGCAAATATGACTACCTACTACTCTCATGATTTGTAATGTGTATGATCTCAGTCAGAGGTATCATTCAGAAATTCCTGCAGTGAGTAATAGCATTTCTGTACCAAAAACTCTTGAGATATTTCTTGAGCAATGTTGTTTCACATTCTCTGAACTCCTTCATTGCGCAAATTTTATTGTAGCATTGGATTCCCATATAATTGGGATTTTCCTGTCCAATTGATAATCTGGAGAATCCTAGCTCCTCACTATTTCCTATAATTTCACCTTCTGTGTTTTCTATTTCAATTATTTTATCCTTGTTTTTTTTTGTTTGTATTTTCTATTATTATATTCCAGCATTCCCGATTAATGTTGTTGGAGTTCAGTAACCTGTTATTATTAAACGTTTTCTTCGCTATGTTGACTTGATTTTCGTAATATCTTTTCAAAAATTTATGTCTTAGTGTGTTTATCATTATTTAGTGTTTTTGCGGTTTCCGCTGTTTCCCTAACAAGTTCTGACAGATTTTTTATGTATGGTGTAATCCAAGTGTTTTTCTTTTTTCTACTGTCTTTTCGAAATGTTTTTACCGGGAAGGACGACTCAAATAGTTCGAGGAATTTATTGTAAAAGTGTGAGAAAGATCCCTGACAATCTGTTTTATAATCTAAAAGGCTGTCCCAGTCTACAAGCAAGAAATATACATACACCACCGCGGCCAAATGTTTTACGACAGTACGAGTTCATTATCTTATAATTTCCAAAACTGAAGTTCTCCATTCCTGTCTTACACCATGTTTCAGATATACATAGTACATCGACATCATGCTTGTGGAGTAATATTTCTAGCCTGGGTATTTTTCCAGATAGTCCTTGTATGTTGATATTCATTATGGTGAAGGGGTTCCGGGCCTGACAGCTGTCACTCTGTAATGATTTGTGGTAAGATGGTTGTCTCTCACTGGGGTCTCTATT